TCCTGCAAATAGAATTTTACAGATTGGAAACAATTAATTGTTTGGCTGCGAATAATATGACAGAGTTTGAGTGTCTGGGACAGATGGTCAATTGATAGCATGACATTGTAATTGATTTGTGCCTTCAGTGTAACATTGCATAATTCTGAAGCCAGAAACAGCAATTCTACTACAGATACTTATAATAACAATGTTAACGGCATGATACTGAAGACGTATAGGCAGCAATAAAAGGAAAGGATTGTCATATAACACCAGTGAAAATCACTGGGAAAACAGTTGTTTCATGACACCGAAGATGTATTCAGAACTAAACACATTGGACAGATATTTATAATTTGCAGGGATAGATACAAAACTAAACAGAAACATTCGGTGCATTTGGGTCTACAAACTTTATGAAACCTCAGACCCCTTTAAAAATGGAAAGTATAAATATTTGAACAATGCTTTCAAGATGATGCAAGTCATTCACTATTTAAAATACAATATGGCACTTATAGATATATAAAGACAAGAACAAAATAAATCATAACACAATTCTAGTAAACTTTAATTTTAGATACTGTCCTTTTTGCTCAATATTTTTTTTTCACTGAGTATTTACATCTTACTTCACTATGTGAACTTGAAATTAACAATTTACAGAGCCAGGTCTTCTTCTTATCCACATCTTTTCGTGAAATGTACACTCATGGACAACTCAAAATAACTGAGGATTCTGACAAATTCGATCACTGCAGTTTTCCTATTGTTAGATTTCAATTCAAGATTATAGGAACATGTAATTAACATCTGCATCAGCAGCTGGTATATTTGTAAATCATGCAGTATGCAAAATAGTGTTCTCGTTATAGAAATTTTACAAACAGAAGCATATACAACCAAAAATATATTTCAGGAAGTATGTAAGGAATAATGAATGGAATAATCAATACTGTTATACGATTGTCTACAATGTCCCAGTTTATTAAAATAGTTGGTACCGCCTTGTCTTCGTAGAAACACGATTGTCTCGAATACGAGAGGTCGAAAGTTTAATCCCCGTCCTGGTCAAAAACAGGTTCAAAAAGTGGTGACTGCCGTTTCTGCGCTTAGCTCGAAGCATTAAGGAGTAAATGAATAGACTGGTCGGCTCAGAGTTAGGAGAATATGTTCGGGTAAGATACCATACTATGTTCCTGTGGATTGTTACCGTGTGAACTACCGCTATCCCATTAAAAATACGGAGTTAGGAGAATATGTTCGGGTAAGATACCATACTATGTTCCTGTGGATTGTTAAGCTTGCTCATTGAACAAACGGTTGTAGCATTACACGCAGTTAAATCAAATTGAAATCAATAATTTCATTATTTTACAATTAAAAACTATACAGTTTTATAGATCTTGTAATGTTTCCTTCATTGATACAACCCCAGATGTGTTAGTTGAATTGAGATCATTAAGAATAAATTGCACGGAAACAAGATTGACGCCTACCCATTAACTGGGCAGCTTCACGTCTGATCAGGATGCGCTAATGAATAGGAGATACGGTATTTATTGTTAACGGCCTTCAGAGTGTTGAAAGAACTATAATTCAAGAAAGAGAACTTAGCAAGGGGATACTGACTGACTCAGTGAAGAAGTAATTACAATTACAATTTATAATAATTTCATTGATATATATAATTGAATTTTACGAGAATACTGCACACATCGAAATTGTTTCCGGACAAACTGTCGAAAATGACTTTTGCAGGGCAGTGGTTTTGGAACTGAATGATCTGCTGAATTTATGTTGGCCAACTACGCCAACGGTCATGCCATTGATATATTGACCGCCTCCTCTTTGACTTTTGGTAAAAGTTTATAATATGTCAGATCATAAAAGAAGCGACAAACCAACAAAAAAAAACAAACCAAACGAACTTACAAAAGCAAATATATGATGCAATTAATCATATCACAATAAAGATTGATGGAGTGTATATAGTGATTAACGTTGTACTAAGGGAATATCAAGGCCTACCAAAGCTAAGCGATTAGCATGTTATAATTTTGCTAAAACCAAATACTGTGACATCACTGTTGTATAGACGAGCATGATTTTTTTAAGTGTACGCCTTAGCTTTTAAAAACTAGGCTCTCATTTACAAATTGGCCATGTGCAATGGTATTTGTATGATGTTTTTGTTTTACATAATTTAGTTAAACAGCAATGTTTTATTTTTTTTTCTATGTACAAAAGGGAAAACACTAGGGTAAAACACACAATACAAAAAAAAAAATAGCTATATGTCGATTGTTCCTCTTGCGTGTATACTGTTTACATGTATGAAACATGTAATGTTTATTTAAAAGCGAGCTCTAAATCGCCTGGTTGCGAGTACAATAATAAGGACATCATCACAATTGACTAGGACTTGAGACATGCCAATTAACATATGGCGATGTTCAAGTAATTTCTTGGGCACTCAACCAACTTCCTCTTTTGATCACGAACAACAGATAAAGAAGAATATAGAAACTATACAACAATCAGTGCAGACAGAGAGTTGTTAACTCCATAATAATAGCAGTTTTACAGACGAAAAATACAAAAAGAACACGTAAAATAATACTAAATAATTTTTAAATATTGTTTATGTATATTATAAAGCAAATTCAGACATTTGTAAAACATCTCTGGACTTTATCATACTGATGATACTTGATAGATAACTAAACAAAATCCGCTATAAAATATTTGGTTGTAAATGTTCTGTTGTTTATTGTATTCGTGGAATTTGACTGATTTGCCACTTTATATAATAATACTAAAGTTAAGAAAGTTGCCTGTATTATTTGTTGACGGCATTTATTAATTTTTGGACATTGGTGTAAAATAAAGGCAAGAACATAATTCGTTTAAGTTTGCACACAGTAACTTAACAATCGTCATTCTATGTTCTTGTTATGTTATTCTTATTCAACAATCAAAGGCTTTTAAAAATATACCTGTACTTTCAACATCAGTGCTTTGCTTTTGCGCCAATTGGCATATCATTTGTATTAAAGAAATCTTTTATTTGCGTCAAAAAATCTTTCATTTTGAACAAAATAAAACACTTCATTTGCGCCGATACTTATTAGATATTTTGAAAAAGACTTAATAATAATGTGACAACATATTTTGACAACATAGTACTAATTCTTTATTGTGATGTAAGTAAATACAATATGTGTGACAAATACAAATGATAAACAACAAAATCTTATTTGAATACATATTCATGGTATCGAGGTAGACTATGTTTATTCAATGTTGATATATAATAGTTTTGCTGTTCACATCTGTTGTGATCTGGCTATACAACTTTTAAGGGTATATCTATACGACTTGTCTGCGGTTTTCAGTACATATTAAGATATATCATGTGTGGTCGTTACAAATATAGAAGTATATTCTCTTATTGTCTGCGAATGAATTATGTCCGTCTTACCATGAATATGAACTCACTTGCCTACACAGTGGGATAATGCACAAAATTTCCTATACGAGCCTCGTATTCAGGATACAACATATTAAAACGTTGCCGTTATATTTTAACTGTGAATTTGCGCAAAAGCAGCATTTATTTTTGGTTATGATGAAATATAACCTTGTGGCGCAAATGGTATTATCAGATTATTACATGGCAGTTTTCAGATCAGATAGATTATCAGCCTTAGGACAAGATATCAATCCAAGAGCGGAAGGCTCGAGGGCTGATAATCCATCTGAATAGATACGTAAAATTTCATGTTATGATCTTTTTGTCATATACTTCTAATTCGAAAAATATCATTGTAAAAACAAAAGTTTTACTTAAAAAATATTAGTCTCAACTACGCAATTTGTACTGCAAGACAACAACATAAAAAGTAAATATATTTCATCATATATAAGCAATATTTAACCGTAGAATGGCGCAGTCAAATGTTCTTATATTTCTTAAAGATTATATATTGATGTTTCTGAACAGACAAACTGTATTAAAACATTTTAGACAGACCTTCATTTTTAAAATAGTTAAAGTTAAATTTAGCAGTACTTTCATAGAGCATAGTACCATGGAAGTATTATACTTCTGTGAGAATACAAGGTTTTAAATCTTTGAACAAAATGCATTTATTACATAATTTGTTCTGCATTTTTCATTATATATTTCCTGTTTCCTACTGTTTGTCTTTCGTCCAACTTTGTTACTTTTTCTCATTGAAAACGTACCATTTAGGTATGTATCCCGGAATCAGCCCGCTCAGCACTATTTCGGAAAATTCGAAATTTACGCAAATGTAATGGTAAACTATTATCATACTGTATAAATTACAACTTATTTACTCTAAGTATATGATAAACAAACAATATGACTGTTGGCACGTCATATTGTTTGTTAGACTTTTTCTCAGGGTTTTTTTCGGGACAAAGATTTATAAGTGTTTCTCCAAACTTGTTTTCCGAATCCTATATTTGACTGCTATGTGAAAGTTTACTTACTGTTTTAATTTTACGATAATGAAAACTGATTGAACTAGATAAAATACTGCGGGTTTTTTTTTCTTCAAAAAATGGCGCAAATGCAATACGCCCGTTAGTATGCACATGTTCACATGTTCATAAATGTATAAGAAAATTACAAACTTTATAACCAAATGAGTTAATTTGCAATCTAAAAGTCAATTCCAGCTTTAATTTTGACATATTTCTTTTATTTTGATTTTTAAGATAAATACTCAAATTTTTTCGTAATTTATCGAAATTTCAAGTTTGATTCTTGAGTTCTATTAGCCTTCACAATCGATTAAATGTCCATTAGCATGAAATAACATTGCCAGAGAAACAAAGTAGACAGTAAGATTCCAGTACTAGTATAATATTTTAGGAAATAAAAATCACTTTTTTTGTTTCAGTTAAATTTGCCCCACCTTCATCCGAGATTGACAACACTGAAAAATGAGAGGTTTCATTTAATAATTTTTAGGTTTTGTTTTCAGGATGAGAAGAATCAGATTATGACAACAAGTGTTTGGCTTCGGCAGGTATACTATTACATTTAATCAGGTTAATCCTAAATATGTAAAGTGATTTTTTTTCTAAGGATGAGAGACAAATATAAAACAGAAACTGTTCGGTCAAAGAAATATCAACATCAAATGACATAAAAGTCAAGAACAATTTTTTTTTTTTTTGAAAAATAATAATAAAAAAAAAAAAAAAAAAAAAAAAAAGTTATACAAACAAACTTTGGCAACAGTTTCTAGAACTCCTTTAAAAACACCATTCATTAAACAACAGATTGAAAGCCACTGTTAACACTCACCATAAATGAACATATCCGCCTTGCATGCTTCCCTTTATCAACCCCCCCCCCCCCCCCCATTACCCAAAAAAAAATCCAAACAAACAAACGATAGGAACATAAATAAACAATAATACACCTAGGTATGCTTTTTCGTTTTTCTTTTATGGTTTAATCTTACAGAGATACTGAGTTAAGTTTACTCTAGGAGTGGGGACTATGCGACATTCTCCTTGTCAGTACGTTCGTATAACATTTAATTTCGCCACAGTCACACTTTTCTCAGGTACACCTGATAGAATGACTTCATATTTGGTCAGTTACTTGACAGTTCGGAGTTGTAATGTGCAAGTTCTTTTCCGACCTGCCTGACACCGACTTCCGTTTTGTCTATACTTTGAATTTTTTAATTTGTTTTAAAAAAAATTGTTCATCACATTCATACTTTTCTTGGATATTACTAAACAGAATGATTTCATATTTGTTCAGGAGCTTGACAGTGATGAATTGTAACTTGTGAGCGATTTACTTATTTAAAATCTTTCTGTTTCCGATATTTTCAATTACGAGTTGCTGTATGCTAGGCACGACAACATTTTTGTTTTTGTTATGTGTGTGTTTAAAAAAAAAAGAAATACTAGTCGTAATATGACAGAGATTACAGTGATGAACAAATGTAAATCAATTGATTAATAAGATGACAGTTGTCCATAGCTATCTACATTGCTTGTAGAAAAATCTAACTGCAGTGAGACTTTTTGGGGATTTTTCAGAAAACCGTAACACGGTCCCAGTTATTTCCCTCTTCCACATATATAGAACTCAACGTAACCGAATCGTACATTTTTTATTCCTACATTTAAATTAAACTTTGAAATTTAAATTACAATTTAATATTTGTAATCCATGCCTGGGTTTTGAATGATTCAAATGATTTGATCTGCGTTTCAGATATCAATACTGCTTTGCGTTGATAAGTGGATTTTGATGAAATAGAATTGGACCATTTTACAGATAATCGTCCCCCATATACATTTTGGATTCATACAAATTTAAAGGAAAATTAAAGTTCGATGATCTCGATTTGAAAGTAGAACAAATTCAAGCACTGTTACATATTTCTAAAAATACCACAGCATACTCATAAGGGGACTTCATTCTTGGCCAAATATTGACATGAACAATGTGTTTTGTACACTAAACAGTAAGTAGATTTTTATGATATCTCTGTTGCAGTTGATTGGAAACAAAAGAAACTTTTATTCTACATTTTAACAGGAGTGGTTTGATCAGCGTTTAAAATGGAATCCAAGTGAATATGGAGGCATCAAAATGACGCATATCCCATCTGATCATCTTTGGCGTCCTGATATGCTTCTTTACAACAAGTATGTATAATTGGCCGTTACATAATCTATTTAGGGATATGGGTAATTTAATTATTTGTACCCCAAAATGAAAATAACGTAACGTCATTGGTTGAATTTCCATTGTTTAACCAATCACGGCGGTTTTTGTTTGTCTAATGTAATATAAACTTATTATCTATGTAAATTTAATCTTTCACTGTGGTACTGCAATGGTCCGGATGATACCAACTTACAGTAGCTGTCCCTTTAATCTGTGCATCACTGCATAACAACAAACGAAGGCTTGATGTCAACTTTATTTTATACCAATATGTAAAATGGTAATTAGATACAGTATAATCCCAACTTTGATATATTAAATGTTAGGGTGACCTTACTGAAACTCAATTCGTATAAACACAGTGGTAAATCAGGAACTTTTGATTGGGTCTTCTTATAAATAAAACTGCCAAAAAGATTAGAGGATTTTGAGAGAGGGAGAGCGCGCGCGCAAGAGAGATAGAGAGAAATAGTAGTTGAACTGTCATCTTGTTCCAGGCTTGTTCAGAATAATTAGTAACACAAACCTGAAAACCTATAAATGTCTGACAGCACTTGGAGCAAAACCTCCGTCTTCACTAATGATCTAAAGCTACAATGAAGTTATGGTGTAATATTTTGTTTCCGTGTGAAATGAAGAAATTTGTATGGAATTCCCCAGTTTTACATGACATTTTCTATCATCCCGTGTAATTAAGTCTGTGCAATTTGGTTCGGCTTTGTTAGAGCATAGTTGTAATCGTGTTAGTTAGAAATGGCGTCCAAATAAATACAACAGTTTATTGAGAATGAGCAACATCAAATTACAATACATTTTAGTAAAGTTACTTGTCATGTAAATCGATTGAACAATATATTTTTGATGATAAAATATGGTTAAGTGTGACCCCTCATTTTACTGTCTTCTTCATCAATTTGGAAATCACTGCTCAGACTGATTAAATTGATTCTGACCAAATCATATTATAAAATCTTGGTTTTCGTCAGCACTATAACAGTAAACTACGAAAAGCAAACTGTCCTAATAAATCAAAGTTGATTTCTTTCAAGAAATCATTGTGCATCAATGGACAAGTGAAGTATAAAGGATACAATTTTGTCATTTTCTTTTTCCGCATGAAATAATGTTTCTCTCTGATAATCACTAAAACTTCCCGTATTAAATTACTGTTACTAAAAAGAAGTTCAACTTTTTTTATAAAAATTTTTTAAGATGCATATAAATTGCTGCCCGACTCAAAGTTAAAGACAACGTATGTACGTGAAATCAATAAACTCAATAAAATCAGAGAAATATCAACCAATGATAGCAAAAAAAACCCCAAAGAAATCCAAAAGGTTAACAAACGCTCTTCTATATATGTCATGCCCTAAGTCATCCCAAGTCTGAACAAAAGTTGTAAATAAACAAACATAAAACATAGTGTATGTTCTACATCAAGTACAGTTATTTAACACTCTTTCTATATAAGGAATAACTATTATTATGATTTATACATAGATTACAATTACTTTGCAATTTGTCGAGCCCTATATGGACCCGATTCTAAAAAAACTATGTTAATATATAGTCTTCAATGATACACGATCATCACCAAATTCCCTCACGGACAAACAACTTTAACATAAAAGCAAAAAAAACAACAACCAACTAGATTCTTGACTTTGAACAGGCAAAATGGACAATGATCACTATTAAGGTTAAATTTAGTAGGAATAATTAGTAATGCTGGATAGATTTCAAAGGAATAAATCTGCGATTAAAAGGGCACATTTATTACCCACTGGAATATCAATCACTTCACAGCATATTTTTTGCAAGTATTATCAAGCAAAAACATACGGATTTAATCACTTATTTGCATGTCTCGTTAGTGAATTGAAAGATTTATTATCAAAAAGGGACCAGTAACGTGAGTTAACGCTCATACAACGACGTGTTCATTTTCTTATCTAGTGGAAAAAAGTTCTTCGGTCTCAGCGCAAATTTCTTTTTTTTATTTCCTACTATGTTATAAGATATTTTGAACATTTCGGCTAACTGTGGTAACAAAACTAATCATTTTTTTTTTTGGATTTAACAAGCTTAAGGCTAATCAAAATAAAAGAAAAATCGTATTTATTATTATTCACATTAAAGATACAACGTGACTCAGTGTTCAAAGTATTTTTATAGTCATACAAAAAATAACATGTTACCTCAATACTTACAACGAAATTTCCATTTTTCAGTGCTGATGGTGATTTTGTTGTTACTTTGCTAACAAAAGCTACTGTACATTTTGATGGGAAGATTATTTGGGAACCGCCTGTCATATACAAGAGTTACTGTCCAATTGATGTGGAATATTTCCCTTTTGACATGCAGGAATGTTTTATGAAATTTGGTTCTTGGACATATGATGGACACGAGCTGGACTTACAACATATATGTGATGCACAAGCTGTATATAATGAAGAAACAAAAGAAAAAGTTATTACATGGGGAATTGATATAAAAGATTTTTACCCAAACGTTGAATGGGATATAATAAACGTAACAGCTAGGCGGAAAGAAAAATTTTATCCGTGTTGCCCAGAACCGTATCCTGATATTACATTTAATATTACACTGAGGAGACGTACCTTATTTTATTCCTTAAATCTGATTATGCCATGTGTATCTATATCATGTTTAACTGTGTTGGTGTTTTATCTTCCATCAGATAGTGGAGAAAAGATCACGCTATCAATTTCAATATTGCTGGCGTTGACTGTGTTTTTCCTGCTGCTTTCTGATATTAATCCTCCAACTTCATTTGTCATACCTCTTATAGGTAAATATTTACTTTTTACTATGATAGTTGTGACTATGTCCATATTTTTAGCTGTGTATACCTTAGGAATTAATTTTCGTCGGCCTGCGACTCATAGAATGAGTCCATGGGTGAGACGTGTGTTTACAGAAATATTACCCAGAATTCTTTTAATGCGTAGACCGGATATGGAACGGACAACTAGAGTGCCTATTCGAACTTGTAACGGGATAGAAATGCGTGATGTTAGAGACATTTATTCCAGTTCACAAGCGTCTTCTCATAGCAAAGAGTGGACAACAGAAACTACATATGAGAACACTCAATCTAACAGTGACTTAACAAAATACCCAAGAGAAATTAGAGAGGCGTTTCAAGGAGTTATATCTATAGCAGATCATCTAAAAACTGAGGATGAAGAAAATTCTGTAAGTTTTAGTTAAAAAGAATTTTGATCCATAGCGATGTTGCCTTGTAATATTTCCCACAAGCGAGAGTGACTTAAAGAAGGTTTTATAAACTGTTTAAAAAAAATGATAATTGTTGAGCAATGGGATCAGATGTCATCAGTGAAAAAACCTCATTGTTTAAACTCGCTTTATTTCTCAAGTAATCAGGAAAAACTTGTACCTTATAGCACAATAAACAGCCATTTATACTTGAATGCAATTGTCGGTCTAAAAATTGTTTTAAATCAATCCGGCCTATGTTGATCAATGGTTAAAACTATTGACGGTATTCAAATTCAATATCTCTGAAATATATTACCAGATATACAAAAAAAAATCTGTTTAGTGAACTTTCTTGATGGTTGGTCACTTAATAACGTTTTCTCCACATCTCCTTGATCTCATATTGAGTAAGATAAATGAACCATATGCATTTTTATGATTAAAGCATCTTCTTAAAGAATGCGTAGATCATGTAGATCAAAAGAAACTTTTTTTATCCATGACATTTTACCGATTAGAATATCCTTCGTGATTTGCGTGTACCATCCGTCTAATTGACCAGTAGTGAAAGCACATAATATAATATATTCAGTAATGGCCTGATTCTGTAAATGATTGTCAAGGATATTATTTTTGACACATTCGCCTGATAATGGTTGCCTAATTGATTATGATATTAGATTATAGTATAGGCCACTAAGAAATTAGTAATAAAAATAAGACTTTCCATTACATTGATCAATTTTCTACTGGAGTCTTTTTCTCTTATCCATACAAATTATTTTCGTTGTTTTTAATATGTATAAAAAGATTGGTGTGGAGCATAGGTCAGTGTTACAGCAACCAACCAACACTAATAACCAAACGAACATATAGAAAACATCTCTTGTCAACATAGTCTTCATCAGTAGAAAATTGTCAACTTAAGGATGTATTCCTAAGTTATCTTAGTGTTATTGAAATTTTGTATTTTAATTTCACGTGTTCATATTCGGTCATGTTTAAGGTTCAATACATTCGATCATGATTTAGCATGGTTAGGGGACGACCGTTTGATATTCGGGTAGGGGGGACAGGAAGATTTTGAAAATGAATATCCTGGCCCTGTGAAAGCTGATAATAGATAATCTTGCATAAGACAGGATGAAAATGGGATTACTGTTCCACAAAATTCAGGAAACAGTCGTACACAAAAGTGTAAATAAGCATTCGTAGCAACAGATGAAAATGAATAGTCAATCCGCAAAAAAAAATCCTTTCCCCCCGCCCCCACCAAAAATATCAAATGTTCGTTCCCTTAAGATTAGAAAATTTCCATGTACCGATAGTACATAAGTATGTTATGTCCTATTATAAGATAAAGGCCATCTTTCTACACAGCCGCTGTGGTATGGAGCCATATCACTGACTACTACTTGTCGGATTTTAACACAAATAAACGATAGGAACTGCTAACATCTCCAGAGCCTCTGAGTTAACCGATGTTTGTGGTGGGGCTCGTGTTGTTCAATCGTTAGTTTTCTGTGTATTGCTTTTAGGAACTTTTTTTGTCATTTAGTATTTTTTCAGAAAAAAAAAAAAAATTCCTGTCATAATGCATTATAAGTGTGAGTCGATGCTATAACAGATTCATGCACGGTTATTGAATCGTTACCAATTTTAAATATTTTTTTTGATGGAACATGGATCGTGTCATGTTGGCGACAACATTTAAGGTAAGTGTTAGTATAGTATTCACAATATGCATGTATATGTAACTACGAACCTTAACTCTGCCTTATGCTACTTAATCATGTATAACATTTCATTTTTTTATATTTTAGGAAGCACGTGACTGGAAGTATATTGCCATGGTGATGGACCGTTTGTTTCTATATATTTTTACAACTGCATGTGTATGCGGAACACTCAGTATATTTCTATATGCTCCCTCCCTTTATGATTCACGTCCACCGTTAAGTTCTGACAAAAGGTATGGGAACTGCACTTACTAAATGCATTTGATTCGGTTTTTTGCATTTTGCTTACGAGGTTGCTGTATTGAAATTTAACAAAGCTTTACAAGTTTTGATAATCAAAATATCCAAATTCATCCATTAGTAAGTCCATGGCATTGTATACTTAGAAGGTTGTACCAAATGGAATAACATGTAATAATATTGCGGTAATGACTTAAATATCGGTACAATTTGTAAATCATTCTGAAAAAAATTCAAACTGTCAATAAACATTTTCATCATAAACTTAAAATCGCAAAAATATGTTCTATAACCAGAAAATTTATCACCAGAATACTTAAACAACACAAACTTTCTTTGATAAGAATCGTATTTAATGATTTGTTGCACTTTTTATATCCATTTCTTTGAAGTATATTATCAACAGATATAAGATTGATTATTTTTCTATATTTCTCATAACATGAGTGCGTTCGTTAAATCATCTATCGTATTGACACAACTTAATCTGTTTATTTTTCCTATACGTCATAAGAAAATTTGTACAACGAAATATTACTTGAAAATAATATATTAAAGATGATATTTTGTAAGATTTTGTATTTGTTTTCTTGCCTTTATGTGTATATGTAGATGTTTTTAAGGTTTATTGTGTTGCTGTTAATTTGATGTTTATCTCAAATATCCTTTCAATCATAATGATAAGCTTCGATGTTAATATCAGTATACACATTTATCATGTTAATACATCAGTTAAAAAGTAAAATATGCAATGAGTGCACATTATGGATCCGCATTAAACAATTTCATTATTATTTCATTTCTGACATCATCAGAAGAAAAGTCGCATATAAACTTAGTTCGTAACATTATTGTATGCTGAAAGGCTCAAATTAAGACACGAGAAAGACTTAACATTCTTTTCGTGTTACTCTTGAAAAAAACAAACTGGCCAAGACATGTAAACGATTTAAATCTAAAGTTAACGATACAATTATAGGATCCTTTTTATATAAGAAGAAGGATAAGAAGGGTCATTCGGGTCACTATGCAAATTTTTCACACATTCGCTAGAAAAACGCGTTGCAGTATGTTCGCGTAACCTAGAGCAACATGTTGTAGTTGGTTCTCGTACCATAGTGAACGTGTCAACAATTGTATTGTGACCCAAGTGGCCCTTCATAGAAAGAGTATATAGTGTGAAAGGACTATAGACGGTTGATACACATCGAAATAGCCGTAGATCTGAAGTCATAATAACTAAATACCACTTTGGGACAAACCTATGGTTGCTCATACACATAAAATTTGAAAATCTCACAATTCACTGCAATTCATGATAGCCTCTAACACTTGTTTGAGTGGAATTCTCTTTGTTAGATTTCTATAATTCTACTTCTGCGCATCGAGAAACAAGGACCTATATATTGGTAATATCAACAAGGCTATTATAGACGATGACGGGCAAAGACATATAACAAATACTTTCATAATTGGCCCGTAAATTCTTTGTCAAAAACCGCGGGCACATTATGATGTTTGTACAGATAACTTGGTAAGAAACAATACATGAGTAAGGCAAATGAAGTCGAATGGTCTGAAGAACAGTTTTAATAAAATAAAATACTGAAACAGACCAATCGAGAAAAAGTTAATTTAGTAAAATTGAGAATGGAAATGGGGAATGTGTCAAAGAGACAACAACCCGACCACAGAACAGACAACAGCAGAAGGCCACCAACAGGTCTTCAATGCAGCGAGAAATTCCCGCACCCGGAGGCGTCCTTCAGCTGGCCCCTAAACAAATATATATATACTAGTTCAGTGATAATGAACGCCATACTAAACTCCAAATTGTACAACATATTAAGATAAGTGATGTACTAAAAAGTACGATATAGCTGTAAAAATATAGTAACATACACTTCAAACATATGGCAACATTTTGTGTCCGTAAACCACGAGAGACACGTTCTGTCAATGTAATGATAAAGAAGAGATATGATGTATTAAATTCAAAACGATTTGTTTAATGACTGTGGATACAACCCAAAACAGAGAAGGGAACAAATAAACATATGCCGTAACAAACCTCTACAAATAAAAGCTGTTCTCACAAAATCTAAATCAGATAATCTGTAGAATAAAACAGCTTTCAAAGTATTAGTCATAGTTGGGTAAATTATTTGGCTAAAACATGTTTCTGTTGGCTTATGGTCATTGCTTAGATATTCGTACCGATTAAGAAATAAAAAAGAGATAAACATGTAATATGCACATCAAAAATGATGAACAGTAATAACAGAATTCGTTTATTTAAGAAGACAGCCCGACTTTCGGAATAAACCACCGATCTGGGGAAAAAAACTGTCGTGATATTCTAATACTAATGATTCAGTTTCGTATTTTGTTACACTTTTATTTGCATCTTTTTATCTCTGTCTTCTTTTCCGAGTATTTATAACATCTATAAAAGCATATACAAGTGTATTTCTTTGCATACATGTGCACAAGGTTTGATTCTCCTATAGACGTGCTACAATTTTCTTTCTTGCTGATTTATTTCTTACTAACTGCCATAATACTAATTGTCCCAGGACATTCATTGCCCTTGCCTTTGCACGTAATATCAATATAATGGCAAACACTTGTTATATAGTAGTAAATTTGTTAAAGGGTATAAAATAGAAAAAATATTAGGAATGGAAATGTAGCAAGACTATGTTTCCTCTTTTTAAAACATATTCATATCCTAACTACAAAGAAATGTAATGCATAAAATGCCAAGTTTCTTTCTTAACGATGCAGTTATGTTTTACCAGACCTAAACAATCTAAGGTTAAAACAAATAAATCAGATACCGTAAAACAAGAACATCGTTCTATTAAACAAGCCTCAAGTAGTGTCTCTTGAGATTTGTCCAAACATCGTCTTCCATCGATACAATGCTGATTGCTCTTATCAATACAACCGTACAAGATGTTTACACGCACATACATCAGTGGTGGTACAAAACATCTGTTTATACACAAATACAATATTTCCAACATTTGATAATTGTTATAAACCGTATGTTCTTTGATATGTCGAGGGAATAATAAAAATACTTTTTACAGAGATTGATGATATAACAGTTGTAATTAAAGCGCCGTTTGTTCCATTGGTTCTATGATAGAATTTTATCCCAAATTATTTTACTTCAGATTCGTTCATTCTAATATTAAGAAATTCCCAAATTAGTTTCGCCGGAACATTAAGACTCTCCTATGTTCAAAAGTAATCTAGGTCACCAGTTTTTCGTATTCGATTTTTTAATGATTATGAAATTCCACCCCAAGAACGCATAATATAAAGGGAAACAAGAAGCCAAATAACATAAAATCCGTCTTTTAAGATTTATTAGCAGTAGCATAAATTTAAAATTCATGCTCTTTAAACACATGAAAACACAAGATTTATATATATAGGGACAGTCCCGATGTTTAAAAAATGAATATTGAGGAATAGGGCTTGCGTTTCTTATCATATTGCTGTTTCTTTTAAACCATGCGTTCCAAATGGTAAAGTTGAAATCATCCCTTCGATAATGAACGAACTCCATCATGGTTTGGTTATCCTTTATAGGATAACTGATGATCATGTATATGTTCGTAGCCACCGTCTAGTTCTATTTTCTTCGATTGCGACATTACTGAGTGCGACTTATCAAATTTTTACTTGAAATGAGTAATACCACAGGTGCCAGTTCATTCCCGATTTTTAGTGGGGTTTGTGTTGCTCAGTTTTTTTTTCTGTATAGGGTTTTGTTTTTGGTCAAAATATTATGAACAAAAAAGTAGCTGTGAGATAAACTATAAGTAGACAGCAACTCGACGACAATTACAACAAAAAGACGCTTAGAGACCCAAATACAATCTCCAACAAAAGACAGGTGTCTATACAATATAACCACATCTAATTCATCCATAGGCTATATTAATAGAAGTTGTTGAAAATTTAACAGAAATAATTTATATTAAAATCAGCAATTAACAGCCAATTCATCCATATAACGAAAACATAAAGATATGACATACGACAACAACGGACGAGGTTCTTGACACGTGTTATTTGTTTTTATTGGACTTATTGTGTTGGATAACACATTTGATATCTTCTCACTCTTTGTATATAGAATAAAGTCACGATTTGATACATGCATGCTGAGAACATAAATGTTAGTTTTAATCCTTGATATACCAAAACACCCTTGAAAGACGACATCGTTGTTGATAAGATATTGGTTTATCACACGACATCACAGTTGTATAACCAACATAAATTTACGACATGGTTAAGAAAGTAAAGTATAACATGTACATACATTTTTTTGTATCTAACCACTTCAATTTAAGATAAAATTATATGTAAATAAGAAAAAATACCTGCTTCTGTTAGTACAAGGTAACACCGTAAATATAATTTAAACTTGGTTTGAATGTCATACACAAAGAAGGAATTGAAATATAAATTAGTTATTGTAAAACATCCAAATATTCGATAGAAAAAGAAAAAAAACAGATATGTCAACCTACATTTTTTTTTATATATATATTTACACCTTACGAGGTTATAAGGCCAATTTCCCCCTGTACGTTTTTTCACTCACAGGGTCAAAATCTAAAAGTATTCAAAACATACTGAAATTCAAACATTTGTCAACAACATATTCAGCGCTAAAAATAGCTGTTAAATACATTATGATACAAAATTGATAATTTTGAATGTTTTTGTAAACTTTTACACCAAAGGACGTCTCTAACCAAATTGAATTAATTTGAATCCGAAAACAAATTTAACTAAATTTTGATTTTAGATAAGAATGTCCTTCAAATACAGTTTGGGAAATAATCAAAGCATGCTACAATCCGTCAAAATTTGGATTATTTGGGCGTTTATAACAATTTTGTGATTCGTTTAGAAATAAGCCACATCGTAAGAACCTCTACGTATATACACATTAAGCTGTCTTTTTTGAACTGAAGTAATTTAAAGATTAAAGGACTTTTTTTATTTCTCTGGTATAATTAGAAATATAAATTCAGAGGAAATTGGCCGTACCTTTTTATAAAGGAATTTTGATATCTTTATAAGCAATCATACTTCGTTTATATTATCAAAGAACTAACTGTGTACATGTATATTTAGAATAAACCACACGGTTTTCCGTGTGTTTGCTTTTAACCAATTATATTCCTAGAAGTATAACGGAGGTAAGATACATATATTATTATTTTTGGCATTTGTTTTTGTATACACCAGTGCAAGTAGGTTCTTAAAATTGAAGACTTGTTCACTGTAATAATCCACCAGATACCAAATATGGAATTTACTGACTCCGTTTCATTTCACATATTTGTTTTCAAGAAGTAATATTGATTTAATGACCCTATTTGCAGATATGACTTCCAGTCTAGTTAAGACTAACAGTTAGTCATTTCTGAATCGATTTCAAAAGTAGTTTCGTTTACAATTTTGGATTATTTAAGTTTGATATGCTATGCGCCTTTTCTGTTGTGATAACGTACTTTAGTGCCTTAACACTATCTAATTT